ACAATGTATTGTTTTACGCTTTGGTTGGGAAATTTGAGAAAGAATTTAGAAAAGAAGAGAAAAAAAAAAGATGTGTAAAACTAAATAAAATGTAAATATATTTTATTCACATTTCACCTACCTTTTTTCTTTCCCTTTTTAAATCCCGCAACCAAAGATAGTGTTAAAGAAATTTATGAACAGTAATTTGAGTACATTGCTCCATGAGAAGCTTTGGCTTTTCAAGATCGCACAATATGCTTTGAACAGTAATCAATTTAAAGTAGGAAAGTTTTGGGCAGTGTTTGGTTGCATTCTCAAAATATATTTCCACCCACACATTTGCGCTTCACGTTTGGATACAATTTTCAAATCGTAATTCCTCCATACAATTCAAAATACATCTCCACTTCCCGTTTGGCAGATTTCTCACTTTGTTTCTCCACTGTAAAAAGCTTATAACGGTACATACTCTATGTCTTCGATATTCTCCATTTCTGAAAAGCTTCACGTGAAAGAAATTTAAAGCTGAACTTCTTAAAAGCTTCACCTGGAAAGAAATTTAAAGCTGAACTTCACGAGTCGTCTTCCTCTCTTTCAACGATCACAGCTCAAGATTCTTCACTGGTTGTGTTGCTCTCTGTGAACTGAGACCTTCGAATCTAAATTATGTCTGTGAACCTCCTCTCCACCAATAAAATCGCATTTACCAGCTCCCACAAATCAAGTAAGTTGCAGTTTGTGCGTTGTGAAAGATTCACTCTCCGAGCAACGAAACAATAACAAGACCGAGGTCAACTACATCACAAATTTCTCTCAAATTTTAAATTACAACTCACTGATTTCCTCAAACATCCCCAAATTCATTCCCAATTTATGTGCGTCAGGCCAAATTTGTGAAGTGTATTCTCGAATCAAACGCATACCGAAGAAGCGCACATCCACCCACTGTACCCACTCCGTCACTGGTGACAATTATTCCACTCCTACTGCTCTGGTACGTATATCCTTGAATCAATTTGCTAGTCGTATATCCTTCAATCCTTTAATCGATCTGCTATGTAATAGCTGGGAAGCAGAAATGGTTCATATCTATCAAACCGGTCAACCATTAAGACAACTGGTCAGTCGTCCCACCGATTTTCCAGCTGGTCGACCGGCTGGCCGGCCGACCGCCGGCCGGCCTCCCTCTCCTCTGGGTCGACCGCCATTACCTCCTTTGATGTTCCTCTTCGTCTTCTGGTCTTCTCCTGCTTATTGTCTACTGTATAAACTTCTTTCACAAACTTTTTGCATGCAATATTCTATTTTTTCTTGTTATATCTGTTTTTTTCAACACTATTAACAACTTACATTAATGAATTTTTTTCCTAGCAATCTACATTTTCTTCTTGTATCTATTTTTCCCAACATTGTTAACAACTTCAATTGATGAACTTTTTTTTTTCCTACGGAAACATAATTGGAGATGATTCTTGCATTTTTATTTTTTAATATCCAATTCAGATTTGTTTAGATATAAATTGTGTGTTGTTAGATGGATGGCAACAATTCTGATGACAATCAGGACACAAGAATGTGGAGTTCCAGAATTGAAATGAAGCTAATAAACATGTTGAAAGACGAGGTACAAAAAAATCAAACAACAGGTAGTACTGTGTGGACAGTTAGGCATTGGACTCATTTTGCAACTGAGTTGCAAAATTTGTATGGGTTTCGATACACACCAAAACAGGTGAGACAAAAATATCAGCGACTGAAAGCTGATTACCATACCTTCAAGCGATTGCAAGCACAGACCAGTCTGGGATGGGATCCCATTGTAGAAACGGCTGTTGCACCTAATGAATTTTGGGATAAGGTATTGAATTAGCATGTACTCTTTTCAATTTTTTTTGTAACATTTGATCACACGTACAGAATGCTTATTTTTAATATTTTTAATTCTTATAGGCAACAAAAAATGTTAAGAAATTTAGGGCAAAAGGATTTGAGTATTTTCAAGAAATGACCGAAATTGTTGAAAACTGTTATGCCACAGGGGCCTTGGCCTGTGCATCCACACAAGGAGCCCCTGACTTTGATGAAGAGGATGAAATGATTAATAAATTTTGGTCGCCTGGAGCTGGTAGGAGTAATGCGGCCGAACCTATTGCTATTGACTTATTCGGCGATGAGTACATAGAACTATCATTGAGCTGAATTATTTTGACAAGTTGAAATATGTACTATTCAAATGCAATTGGGCTGATGTGAACACAAGTAGAGGCTACAAGATAGATGAATATGGTTTTAACCTTGTAAATTTTTCACATTTGATACATACTGGAGGACGGTTAAATGATGAACCATTTGTCTTGTCATCTCAAGCTTCACAAGTTTATTATGTGGGAGATGTAAGGCATGAAAATTGGTTGGTTGTTGTTAAAACAAAAGCGAGGGATGTGTTTGATGTTGGTACTCGTGAATTGTGTGATGGTGATATTGACATTTACTATGATAATGAGCCGTATAATATGATAGTTGAAGACACTCATGTGGATGCGAATGAAAACCTCAATTGGGCTAGAAATGATACAGATGGAACGACAATCAATATACCACTTCCACTTGATAACCAGCTGATCGATGAAGATGATTTAGATGAGGATGCCTAGTTGTTGAGTTCAACTAGTTTGATTTTAATTTATTTATTCTCATGTTAATCTTTGAAACATTATTTGGTTTTCAATATAAATTTCAAATTTCTTAGTTTCATACATGTATGGCAACCCATGTTTTGCATTTTTTTTTTTAATCACATACCCCTTGTGGATGTAGGTGTAAGCCAAACCAGGTAAATTATCTGTTTTCTTCTTTATGATTGTGTTTGCATCAATTTGCTACTTTGTATCTGATGTCAAATTTGTGTGGGTTTGTCAGGACATTTGTTTAGTTGCCATTGAAGTATATTGTATGGGTTATTAATGAGGACATCTATATTTCTTCTAATAGATAACTGATGGTTTTTTATTTTATTTTAATGTTTGTTGTTAAATATAGCTATTAAAAACTTGGACTGGAAAATCAGCATCTTGACAATATTGTTTTTATGCTCTCTGTGGTTTTAACTTTTAGTATGTGAATGTAGGTATATTATATCTTGAGAAGAAAGAAGTCCACACCTGTCTAAGAGAGGTGAGTATAGTCATGTATGTCCGCACCTGTCTGAATGTAGTAGTATTATTGTGTCATGTTATGTTATTGTATTAGGAAGGGGAGCTAAGTCTAGCCCTATTTTGCTAATTTCACTGGAATCTAGCCAATTGGTTGTGGGTGATTTGATGTGTTTGGTGATCTATGGTGTGTAATCTGTCTGCTGATGGCTGTGCATGATTTGTTATGGAGTTTGCTCTTTTTTTATGCTGCTTTTGTCAATGCTGGTGTGTTTGGTGGCTGATTTTGTTCCTGTTGTTTGTTGGGGCAATGATCTGTGGAGCTTTAGGATGTACAATTGAATCAAATTATTAAGCTTTTATTTTGTTAAGAGTGGTAATATATCACAATTCAATCATTATTTGTGAACAGTGTTGTGGTAATATAAAATAATTACTTGGAAAGGCCTCAAGTACATTTAGTACTATGTCATGCTTTCAGATTTAGGTTCATAGTGTTTATTTAATTCTGGTAATGGCAAAATATTCTGGATAGATTTCCACTCTATATAATGAATGTTTCATGATTCAATTATTATCTATATATATATATATATATATTATTTATTTATATTGCATAGGGCTTTGATGACACATTATCAACCACTTTCCTTTTATCAAAAGTTTGCAATATGTCATTGGCATGTGTCATTTTTTGTTGATCTGCAATGTGTTATTTATTCTTTCAAATGAATTGGTGGATGTGCTGATAATTAGTAGCATTGGAATACCACCCTCTCTGCTTTTATCACCACGAGCTACCTATAAAGTTCCAAATTACTGTTAATGACTCAAAAGTGATATTATTCTGAACCAGTTAATCATGCTCTAGCATAGTGCAGGCAATATTGAGAGGATTACTTACCACAATCATCACACTTTTATGGAACAACTTCTTAGAAACGAACACCCAAAATATGTCATAGCAGAAGGCATAACCGAGAAGAACAGTACCCACTTGATTTGCAAAATACACAAAACCATGTCAAAGAAAACATTAAGTGAGAAAGGCATTTGGTTTTGAAAACTGTTCAGACCACAGTGCACTGCTGACACAGTTTTTATTTCAGCAATGAAACTTGGTTTTAACATTTAACTACTAAACTGTATGATAAATGCTCATTTAATTTGATTAATATCTTTGTGTTTGATTAATTACGTCTATTGTTTATCTAGCAAATATGGCAAAGAAACGATTTAGAACTTGCAATCTTGAGAATGTGTCCCAGAACAAGCGACCAAATGGCTCTTCACAGCCTAGCCAGTCAAATAACTCTTCACAGCCTAGCCAACCAAATAACCCTTCACAGCTGAACGCACCAAGTGGAACTTCACAACCTAGTCACTCAATTGGCTCTCCACAGCTGGACAGGCCAAATAGAACTTCACAACCTAGTTGTTCAAATGCCTCTTTACAGCTTAATCGGCCAAATGGAACTTCACAGCCTAGTCGATCAAATGGCTCTTCACAACCTAGTTGGTCACATCCCTCCTTACATGCTCCATCACATGTTCCACACTCTCAACCTCAAGAATCAGAGGTTAACCCTCAGTTTGAAGATGATTTAGATGAGGACTGGTTAAGGAAAGAAGAAATGCAATGTACAGGTATTATTAGATTTTTAGTTGAGGTACAAATTACAAGTCAACCTTCACTTCCATGATATATTTCGTTGTTGTATTGTAATAGATGCATTGACCAAGCGAAACACGCTGGGAATTACATGTATGGTGGAAGTGTGGAATTTGACTCCAGAAGAACGCATTATGCTTACCTTCAACAAGGATTTGTAGGCTATTTCTACAGAGGGTGGTATGTTCATTCGTTTCATAGGCACCATTGCTAGGAAGCCACACTTATGCTCAATTAAGTACAAGAATTGGCATGAAGTGCCAGATCAGTATAAAGAAGATTGTTGGAATATTATCGAGGTAATATTCTAACTACAAGTATTTTGTGGTAATTCTACTACAAGAGAGATCATATGCATGTGAAAAAGACAATCTTCCATGCTATTATAGTTGAAGTAAAAATAAAAATATGAGAATTAGGCAAAGAAATGCACAAATTTAGTTTATATCATTGTATTGATAATTTTAAGAATGTTCATAACATGAAAAAACATACAATTGTAGTCCAAGTTTGCCATTCCTCAAGATGAGAGAAGGGATATGATTAGGCATCGAACATTGAAGTCAATGGGAGAGAAATGGAGAAATTGGAAATGTAGTTTAAAAGCAAAGTACTATGATGAGACAAAGACAGCAGCACAGATAGTAGCTACTGCATTATAAATTTATTCTGAAACGATATCATTGTTACATAGGAGCAAAAAGATAAGATTGCACTAGATCGAGCAAAATTATATATACCGCTTCACAAAAGGAAAGATGGGACACCAGTCAATGAAGCAGCAGCTACAAAAATTGTATGCCCATTTAATAAGTTACATTTTCAAAATTGTAATTTGTTTGTGGCAAACAATCACTATCGCTCTTTGTCTTTCCTCCCCTCCCCATTTATGCTATAGGAAAAACCAGAAGCTTTGATGAGCTCACAACCAAGTAGCTTCGAAGGAAATGTTAGTGGCTGTATATCTTGGTCACCAAATGCTATTTATTCTTAAGTGATGGGTAAAGAGCATCATGGTCGTGTTCGAGGTTTAGGATTTGGGCCCACTCCTTCCAAGCATGGCTTCATGTGTAATAGTTTCGACCACTTAAGAATGGTTTCTGATGAAGAGAGAATGAGAGACAAAGACACTATAATTGAGTTGAAGGAACAACTAAAAACTCAAGGTGATCAGTTGCAAACTCAAGGTATTCAGTTGCAAGCTCAAGATGCTGTAATAAACTCTTTAAAAGAGCAAGTAGCATTTTTGATGAGACAGAGACATAGTTCTAGTGGTTTGTAGGTATAACTACATATAACATATTCTTTTATATGATGTATTTATCATATGTTATCCTTTTCTAAATTTATGCATACTTATGTAAATTGTATTGTATAAATTAGGCGACAGATGGATCTAGTGGCATTCCGGACCAAGCTTCTCTACAAACACATCAAAAATCCTCTTTTGGGAGTCATGAAATGCAACCTTCTAATCGGGGTAAGTCATTATTACGATACACATACATTGACACAAATTTAGAACCACTGTTAATGACTTCTTTACTAATAAATTGTTAGTTAGTTTGGACAAAATTGGGATTTGATAGGTTGACTTCTCTACTTTGCTTCCTTTATTGGCATTCGTAAAAATACCAAACAAACCAGTGAATAGAGAATTAGGAAATCGAAAAAATTTGAATATCAGCAACGTATCAAACTGTAACATACAATTAAAAATAGACCCTTGGATGTTGCTAGTGGTTGCTTGATTTGGTGGTTGCTACTAATGTTTGGCTTTATTGGCTGATTCAGTCCAAATGCCAACCTGTTAGTTTCTTGCTTACATGTTCTAAGCCCTTTAGATGTCTTCAAGCATATCTAATCTTAGAGATCAACTTGTAGTTCTTAAAGAACAACACCAAGAACTAATGTAGAGTTTTTTTTGTTGGGTTTAAAAGAAAACATAAAACATAGGAAGAAAACAAAGAGGGTGGGTTTCATCATAATGTAGAATTTTTTTTGCTAGTATGGAGCGGGTTTCTTTGCTACCTTTGTTTGTTTGGCTTTTGTGATGCTTTATGGAAGCTTAGGTGTTGTTGGGTTTGGTGTGTTTAGAGTGAACCTGGAATATATGGACTGACATGACATGTGCTTCACAATAATTCTCATGTTATCATGAGCTCAAACACTATCATCAAACAAAAGAATATAGGTTGTTTAAATAATTAAATTTCACTTGTGGCATACTTAGAGATTGTGTTTAGGAGTTAGCTTAAAATTTCTTTGACCTTGAGATCAAAATATTATTTTGTATTATATATATGATATGTACTTGAAAAAAATTATAGGGCTAAGTGAAATTTTCAAAAGTTTAGTGGGCTGAAAATGAAAATTATAGTGCTAAGTGAAAGTTTAAAATTTCCATGACTTTAGGTCACAGCAGTATATGTTTTCCAACCTTCATACTGAGGTTGTGAATTTAAGTCTTATATGGAGCATTGAGGGATGATTTTCATTTTCTTTCCCCATAAATGTAGGTTAGAGTAGCTTTAAATGAATGAAAAAAAAAAATGTATAAAATTCAAGAGAAATTTTCAGGAAGTTTGGGCCCTCTTTAGCTCAGCCATTAGTTCAATGTGTACCCTTTGCACAAATTCACTTGTACACTTATAGCCATTATTTTTATTTTTATTTTTATTTTTGGTTACACTAACTAACTAAAACATTTCTTTTGGTTACACTAACCAACTAAAATGAAGTTCAATAGTAGGTAAACAAGTAGAAATCTGAAGTCGGCCTCAACTCAAAGCTACCTTAATGGTAGACAAGGAGAGATTCTCTATCTAGATCTTTCATGTCTCCTATCTAAAGGTTTTCTTTTCATTACACAAATAGACTCATCACTTAGTAAAATCATGCCACATTAACAAAAGTATGTGAAAAATTCTAAACAAATAGTCCAAACTCAAAACGATACAGAATTCTCTGTTAAAGTCGTTCTTTATTTTCCAATTTCGTTTCTCCTCTCAACGATACAATCAAATCAAAGATATTCTTTATGTAATATAAAGATATCCCGAGGTGGATCTAATACAAAAGGGGAATTTTATGTCTAGATCTTGCTTATCCCCCTATTCTAATACTTCTCACCACTACTACTACACACAATTAAATAGAGAAATTCATCGTGTGATTGGAAGGTATCGTAAGACAAATAGATATTGAATATTCTTAGTAGAGGATTCAGATTCTCACCAAATTTAATAATGTCATGTGAGGGCTCACAAAGATATCCCGTTGACCTCCCCTAGAGGAGCGGAGTTGAGAATGTAGTGGCTGCACAATTGAGGATGGTCCTCAAATGTACATATACTTATAATGTGATCATTGGCTTTGGCTTTAAGTTATTGACATTTGAAGGGACTTGATTTCCTCTATACAATGTGCTTGCAAATGCAAAGAACAATTGCCTTAAGAGTTAGAGAGCACCACATAGAGAGAGAGCATGTGAAATATTTCTTCCTATCCCACTTTTGTTTTCCCTGTCATCAGTGTTTTTGCTGTTTGGACTTTGTTGGGTCATCTCAAGCTCACCTTCTCTTGCACCTGAAAAGAAAGAAAGACTAGTAACACCTTTTGTTACTTGTGAGAAAAATCAAAGGGTTGAAAAAGATTATTATGATCAGTTGCTTTATGACTATACAAACTATTGAAATGAAAACACAATATGAATCTTGAAGGCTTGTGACTAGGGATCATGTGGCATTGTACAAGTGATTTGGCATCGAAGATTTCATAATGTGTTTGACAAAATAAAAATTGTGCAGTTTATAATTTTTTGAATCTTGAATTTGTAGAGAGAAAAGATAGAAAAAGAAACTAAATTGAAAGATTTTTTTTTAAAAAAATCCTTTTTGGGTAAGGTTAGGGGAAAATGAGATTAAAATGAATGGATGTCAAAAAAAATATTGTTGTGGGAAATTTTATGTCTAGATCTTGCTTATCCTCCTATTCTTGCAAATATGATCTTCAATTTCCTTGTAATCTTTATTTTTTGATATGTAAACCACATACTTACCAAAAAATAAAATAAAATAAGACTTGTCGAGAATTATTTGTAGTTTAAATTTTCTTTATAGATTTTAAAATTAAAAATGATGCTTATGCTTGTAGACTTGCCCGAACGTCCCAGCTCTGTGCGCGAATGGCACGAAATCCGTTTTGTTCTTAAGCTACTACAGTTCGGACTCAATGTCACGGTTCTGAATCTAATATTGTGAAGTGCAATGCAAGACCGATAAATCACCAAACAGTCCAAATCCGGCAAATCGTTTTGAAAAACTGATTTTTATAAAGAAATACCAAACATGGACTGCTTTGCCAGATACAGAGTCGCCACCTAAATATTTTATTTTGGGGGAATTTAGGAAACCCTGACTCGTGCCTAAGGCCACATGTCCGTCATCACCAAAGTTGTCTCGGCTTGGGAACTTGGGTACGAGAGGGGAAGGTCATGCAATGAGCACCCCTGCTTGCCCGATCAAAGATTGGCCTTTACTAACATGATATTTTGTTTTTGAAAACACATATGTTCTTATTCCAGTTTATTAGCTAGCTTACTACGTGATGTGCACAGCATACAAGTATAGACTAGATCGCCTAAGTTGGAACAAAACATCTCATGTTTGTTTGAAATGGCTTGAAGGTGCTACTCGCAAGTAGGCTAGGACGTGGATTTGCCACCCTCAAGTGGGCTTAGAAAACATGATTTTTCCACCTCAAGTGGGCTTAAAAACTCGCATTTCGATGAATTATTCCAATTCAAGCAATCCAACCTTCACCCACAAGCATTCAGGCAGTTATATCATTTAAACAGTTAGCCTCATGGCAAGCATACTGTCATGGCAACACTCACACTCATGCAGGGATGCTAAAGCCTAAATACTTATAGTGTACTCCGAGCCAAAACAACAACTAGTTAGTAATCAATTCATGATCCTAGCTATGTTAAGGTGTCTAACGCAACACATGCAAAAATGCAACTAAAATAGGCTCGGTTATTCTAAGATGGCATATGAAATGCAACTTGATAACATGCTATTGAACACATATTCAAGTAAATGTATTGAAATACAATGCAGTTTGTATGATGCGCTGAGCCCGGTGTATGCAAGACAAATGAATGATGCACGCATGCAAAGCATACGGATGCTAATCAAAACATGACCTAGAACTAACCATCGTAAGCGGTTAAGTAAAAAGGAGAAAGACGTGGGGTTGGAAGACATTCACACACTCATGCACACTTATTACAAAATTTACCCTCTCGACGGAGGGTCCGAATAATAATCTAACTAGCTAACCTAAGCTAATTAATTATTACACAACAACTAATTAACTAACTTAGCTAATTAATTATTACAAAACTGAATTGAAACAAATAGCAACACTAAGCTAGTTGAGATATTACACAACAAATCAAATGATTACATTACACGAACTAATCATGAATACTGAAATGGCCTCGCGGGCGATGAAGAGATGCATGCTCGGTCGGTTTCGCTCGGAAATCCACTACCGTGCCTCGTGTTGCCTTTGTTTGCACGCTTCTGGACTTCTGAAAATTG